GGCCTTAAGGGCCGACCTCGTTGGAGGCCTCAGAGGCTTATAAAGGGTTTAGGGTTTAGGGTCCATTCTTAAAGAGGAGTGACTGGACGTGCGGCTATACAGCTGAGCTGCGCTTTTCCGGTCAGTCGACCTCGGAAAATTTCGCCCCGCGTCGACGATGCTCGGGTCGCCGTTTTTTTTTGTCCTTGCAGGTAAAGGATATCCCAAAGCCATCTGCGGACTATCAAAGGTTACCTTTCAGGGTTTCTCTTTCTCAGCTGCGCGCAGTTGCGGGATGCGTGTGGCATCCAGAGTGTTGGGAAGAGTTTGGTTTTGGGTTTGGGCTTCCACTTGAAGGTTCAAGGATAGTCAGAGTAGGTTACATGTAGCTTCTATGTCCCCCTTGGGAATCATTTTTTATTCTTGTTCATATAAAACCCAAGAGGATGTTAAGGTTCTAAGGGGAGTATAGGCTTGTAACTCATTGGCCTTAGATATTGCCGATTCCCTGCTGCCCGGTTCTCCAGCCCTCCGCAAAGGCGACGCCTCTGATGCGTGCCCATGGGAATCTGAGTGCTGCCAAGAGGGGGCGGGTGCCCTTCCTCGAGCCGCCACAGCCCTAAGCCCTGAACCTCAAACCTCCTGAAGCCTCAACCCTAAACCCTAAACCCTAAACCCTAAACCCTAAACCCGAAACCCGAAACCCTAAACCCTAAACCCTAAACCCTAAACCCTAAACCCTAAACCCTAAACCTAAACCTAAACCCTAAACCCTAAACCCTAAACCCTAAACCCTAAACCCTAAACCCTAAACCCTAAACCCTAAACCCTAAACCCTAAACCCTAAACCCTAACCGAAACCCTGAACCCTAAACCCAGTCCCTTCTGAAACCCAAACCCTAAACCCGAAACCCTAAACCCTAACCCTCATCCCAAGCCCTGTAAATCTGACAAGCTCTTTCTGACGTGTGAGAATCGGCTCCTTGTCGGACCATCCGTGCATGGGATAATGAAAGCTTCTTGCCCCTGGCCAGTGCTCCCCAAGCCCTAAGCCCCAAACCCCGAAGCCCTAGAGTTCAAGAGCTTGGCGACTCAGCCCAACGCCACCACAGTCTTGCCCTAAACCCTAAACCCTCAAACCCTCAAACCCTCAAACCCTCAAACCCTCAAACCCTCGAACCCTCGAACCCTCAAACCCTCAAACCCTCAAACCCTCAAACCCTCAAACCCTCAAAACCTCAGCCCTACACCCTAAACGCTAAATCCTACAGGCCTTCAAGCCCTTAACCCTAAAGCCCTACTTACGCCCCCTGCAGAAGTGGGCGCCTTGGTGGATCTCAGTGCTCTTAGCCTACAGGTTGAGTCATGAGCCTTCAAGGGATTGAAGGCCCCAATCTCCTCTAGAGGGTTGAGGGTTTCGGAAGTTATGGCTTTAGGGATTAGGGGTTTAGGGTTTAGGGTTTAGGGTTTAGGGTTTAGGGTTTAGGGTTCTAAGGGGCTATAGAGCCTAGAGAGGTTCGGTCCAAAACTCAAGCCCCCCAAGCTCGAAGCATCTCCGCAGTGGCCAGGGTGCGCAGCGTGCAGTTTCAGGGTTGTGGAGACTCCTTTGGTTTGCTTCGAGAGGTGCGGGGTTTGGCAACTAAGATTTGGACCCCTCCCCTGCGCTTTAAATTGCATTAGGGTTTAGGGTTTAGGGTCTAGGGCTTAGGGTTCAGGGTTTAGGGTTCAGGGTTTAGGGTTTAGGGTTTAGGGGGGTTCGGGCTCCTCTGGTTATAAACCTGAGGCCTTGGCTCCCCCAGTTCCAGTCTCCACCCCTAACCTTTCCCGAGCGCTAAACCTAGACCACCTCCACCCTGAAGGGTTTAGGGTTTAGGGTTTAGGGTTTAGGGTTTAGGGTTTAGGGTTTAGGGTTTTGGTTGTAGGGTTTAGGGTTTAGGGTTCAGGGTACCCTGATTTTAGGGGTTTAGGGTTTAGGGTCCCTTGGTTTTTCCGCTTAGCTCACTTAGCTGTGAGGCCTCCAGCCTCATCTCCCCCCCCCTCCCCCCACCCTCCAATCCCAGCCACTTCTATCTAGTTGGTCCGGCAAGGTCCGGGGGCTATCGTCTGGTGGGTGTGTAGAGTTTAGGGTTTAGGGTTTGGGGTTTTGAAATTTTTAGGTTTTGAGGCTTGATGTTGACGGAAACAAAATAATGACGACGGACAGTTTCACCCGCGGGAAGTCTTGGCTCAGGGGGCCTGGTTGTGTGATACCAGATGCTCGAGTATTTCAGCCAGACGCTAGCACCCTCCTCACAAGCTCTGAAGCCTGCCTAAACCTAAATTAAGCCCTAAACCCGAAACCCTAAACCCTAAACCCTAAGCCCGAAGCCCTAAACCATAAACCCTACACCCTAAACCCTAAGCCCTAAGCCCTAAGCCCTAAGCCCTAAGCCCTAAACCCTAAACCCTAAACCCTAAACCCTAAACACTAAACACCTCAACTCTCAACTCCCCCAAAACCCCAAGCCCCAAACCCCAAATGCACCTCGCAGAATCTTAGACCGCTCAAAGCCCTCAAACCCATTGTGTCGATTGCGTGGCTATGTGGAAGTCTTTGCAGACGCACGAAGACGCTAAGAGACGTGAAGACAAGCGACTGCGCGAAGTCGGGCGAAGACGAGCGAAGACACGTTAACAAGAGCGAAGACGAGCGAAGACGAGCGAAGCCGAGCGAAGACGAGCGAAGCCGAGCGAAGCCGAGCGAAGACGAGCGAAGACGAGCGAAGACGAGCGAAGAAAGAGCGGAGACGAGCCAAGCAACACCCCCTGGCGTCACTTGACTTCGCTTGGCGTCGCTCGTCTTCACTCGGCATCGCTCGGAATTGCTCGGAGTCTGTCGGCGTCGCTCGCCAGGGGTGTGTTTAAGACCATACTGCCGCCACTCTCCTCGAATCCCAAACCCCCTCTCGTTTAGCGGCCGGGCTTGTGAGGAAATGTATCTAAACCCCTGAGCCTCCTGAACTTAGAACCCTAAGCCCCGAAACCCTAAACTCCTAAATGCCGCAAAGCCCTAAGCCCCGTAAGTTGTGGTCTTCAGAGGTGTGTGTACAAGCCCACCTCTTGCCAGGGGCTTGCTTCCAATCTTGCGTAAAGACCCTAAAGCCCTAAAACTTAAACCCCTCAGCCCCAAGCTCTAAACTCCTAGACCCCCTATTACTAAAGGCCCCCAAACCCCCTAGACCCCCTAAAGCCCGAAACCCTTGTTGTAGGGTGAGGCCCCTTTTCGCGAAAGCGCGCCATGTTGGTGTTTTTTTGGCTTCCTGAGGGGCGGCAAGACTTCTTGCGTGCCGAAGGGGTCTTAGGAGGGCTTAGCAGGGCTTAGTATAGGGCTGAGGGTTTAGGGTTGAGGGTTGAGGGTTGAGGGGTTTAGGGTTTAGGGTTTAGGGTTTAGGGCTCAGGGCTTAGTGTGCATGATTTTCCCTATGGAAGACTGAATTACAGGTCTCTGTAGCTCCGGGCGCTGGGCTACGGTTGGCTCCGAACCCTAACTAAACCCGAAACCCTAAACCCTAAACCCTAAACCCCAAACCCCAAACCCTAAACCCTAAACCCTAAACCCTAAACCCTAAACCCCAAACCCCAAACCCCAAACCATAAACCCTAAACCCTAAACCCTAAACCCCATACCCCAGAAGGAGGGAAAGCCAGAGTTCGGGTTGAACAGGCTTACTCGGAGGTTTATAGACACATAGAAACTAGGTTTCTAGGCATCCCCCACATCAGGTTCTAACCAATGATTTTAGGACCGGGAGTAGGCCCTTTTTCCCTTTTTTAGGGTTGGGGTTCCCTTATCATCCCCTTAAAACCAAAAAGGGCACCCTTTTTATTCCTAGGTTACTCCCGGGTCGAGGATTGCTAAAATTTTCCCCTGGTTATATGTCCTCATGAACCTTCAGGGAGGGCGGGGCAGATGACTACGGATTTCTCAGTGTCGAGTTCCTTGGGACATTTTATATTTTCCCTTTTTGGGTTTAAGAGGATCATATGCATGTTTTAGAGGGTCTTAAGGGCCATCCTAGGAAGTTCTAACCAATTATTGCTATTATGTCCCCTGCTTATATGCGAGTTCTTTGTGCCTCGGAGACTAGGGAGCCAATCGGAGCCCTGTGCCCATACCAAGACATGCTTGCAAAAGGCAGGCAGGTGCCAGGTCCAAGTTTTAACTTCACTCTCGGAAAAAACAGACTTCTTAGGATCCAGAGAAGGCCCTTCTTCCCTTTTGTTCGAGTTTAGGTTACCTTAGAAGCTCTTCTAAACCGAAAAAGGGCACCTTCGTTGTTCCTAGGTTGCTCCTGGTTCTAGCTTTCGATCCTGTGGACCATCCTCCAGCGGTGCATGAGCAAGCGGACTCACGCAATGCTCCCGTTCAGTGTCCCGGCTTCGCTTTGTGGAAGTTGCTTCTACAGATGCTCTACACACACACAGACACCGAACACCACTAGATACTGCAGACGGTCCATATATGTGGGTGTGCTGCCCTAAGCCCCAAGCCGATGTGCAGGTCAATCCGACCATTGGCCCGGGATCGGAACACACCTCCTGAAAGTTGCGTCCTCATGAACATCCGGAACACAAAGCGGTCTAACATAGGGGCCTAAATACTTAGAAAAGGGGTTTGGGGGTCCGCAAAGTTCTGGCCTCGAGCACCTTCCTTGTAGTAGGAGGCTGTTCTGCAGCTCCCTGAGGCATTGCTTAAGTGAAAGCGCAATGGCCCAACCGGTCAAGATCAACATTGGCGGCGAGAAACTCGTTACTGTGTATCCAGACCTGTTTCGTGTGGCAGGGGTGAGCAAGCTCTCAACAATCGGCTCTGACTGCTGGGAGTCGCCGTTGGATTCTGATGGTAATGTGTTCGTGGACTACTCTCCTGGAGTGTTCGTGCCTGTCATCTCATAGAGTGGCTGCGAGAAGTTCGTGACGCTGAGCCTGGCCAGCAAGTTTTGGTACAAGTGGAGAGCAGGCACAGAAGCGCGTGGATCCGCATGATGGGTGCTTTCGCCTTCCCTCCGCACCTCCTGCGTCTGGCGGGCATCGGAGCTGGCGAGTTGGCAGCCATGGGTTTTTCTGCTTCTCACCTTCACTCGGCTGCAGGGTTCAGTGTGGAAGAGCTCGTCCTTGCCGGCTTTCAGGCGGCAGCTGTGAGAGATCTTTTGCAAGACGGTGAGCTCACATCTGTGCTGAGCAATGTGCGCCCAGCCATGGGGTCGTGGATGTGTGCCGAGCTAGAATCTCGTGGCTTCACGGAACCGGAGTTGACAGCTGCAGGATTCATCAGAGAGGAGTCAGGATCCCTCTTCGGGGCTCCCTTGGTCGACTCAGCAAACGGAGGACTTTTCGCCGGCTTTGACTATGCCACCTCCAGCACCTTGCCTGCTGCGACTGCCCCGCAGTCCCGATCCGGGAGAATGCCCAGGCTCATACCAGAGTTGATGGCCGGGGACGGGCTCCTCAAGAAAACTGCCCTGACAGATCACAGTTCGGCCCACCCAGCAACAGCCCCAACAGATGACAATGAGGAGCTGTGAGTCGCATGTTGCACGTGTGTGTTGTAGGAGTCGCGTGTGAACTCGTGGTTTTTTGCCAAGATGGAAGCAGGCGCGAGTGAAGATGACCTTCAAGCAGATGTCATATGCAAGCGTTTGTGTCTGCATGTTGCACTATAGTATACTTCCATAGGGACCAGAAGGGAATATTGCTCGTAATTTTTCCTGTTGCACTATAGTATACTTACAACTTGCATAGGGACCATAAGGGAACATTACTAGTAATTATTCCCACCCCTGTGTTCTGGTAGTTGGCCTGAAACTGATCCCCTGGTTCCCGAATCCCTCCATGGTGAACCCTCAACTCCAAATCCCCAAACCCCTAAACCCTAAACCCTAAACCCTAAACCCTATACCCTAAACCCTGAACCCTAAACCCCAAACCCCGAATCCCAACGGCCGAAACCACATGAGGCCTCACGTATGGCGCCGGCAGCGCGGAGGGCAGGCCACAGTGAGAGCTCGAAGTAAGGGCTTGAAGGGTTTGGGGGGGTGGGTTCAGTTTTGTGCTTGTTTCTAGGGTTTAGGGTTTGGAGATTAGGGTGTGTGATCGGGCACCGCGCGCACCTCACGAGACGCGTCTTGTCGTCCCCCAGAAACAACTCAAACAGCTCACAGGAGCATGTGGGGGTTTCCGAAGAATAGGGGCTACCCTTTTTGGGGGCCCTAAACCTTAAACCCTAAACCCTAAACCCTAAACCCTAAATCCTAAACCCTAAACCGGGGGTACCCTTTTTGGGGGTCTCTTCAAGGGGATTCTCTTCCATTCTTGGGGTTGGGAAATGCCCATGTTGAGGCACAGGGCTTTTGTAGATGCACCCCCCAAAAAATCCCTGCAAGCCAGAATCTTGGAGATTGCCTTCATGGCTGGGTAGGGGGTAGGTGTGCGTATGTACAAGTAGCTCTTGTTGCTTCAGTATAATATACTGGCCTGAATATTTAGAAGAGGGTCTTGGGGTTGTTATAGTACAATTACAAAGAGACCCTAAGGGAATGTTATTAGTAATTATTCCGACCCCTATATTAGGCACATCCCAATCTTTATCCCAGACCGAAAAAAAGGCGACAAGCCGAAAGGGGCTTAGGGCTCACCCGGAGCAACCTCTGTGTTCCAAAGGAAACATACCCCCTAAACCCTAAACCCTAAACCCGAAACCCGAAACCCTAAACCCTAAACCCTAAACCCTATAACGAAGGAATCGATGTCGTGTTTCATGGCACATCGATAAGCCGAAAGCAGCCGCGCCGGCCACCCGAAAGCACCTGAACAGCATGATGCTACCCGAAACCATAGAACCTGAAGCCCTGAACCCCAACACTTGACAACCCTTAACAGCAAGCCCTAAAACCCTCAAACAAGACCCCTAAACCCTAAACCCTAAACCCTAAACCCCAAACCCCAAACCCTAAACCCTAAACCCTAAACCCTAAACCCTAAACCCTAAACCCTAAACCCTAAACCCTAAACCCTAAACCCTAAACCCCAAACCCTAAACCCTAAACACCCAAAAAACCCAAAAGGGGGGCTGCAATTAGATGGCCATGTCGGGTCTCTCATCCTTCGCCTTGCGGAATGAACTTCAAGCTGCTGCCTCGGCTTGTTGGGGTTTAGGGTTTAGGCTTTAGGGTTTAGGGTTTAGGGTTTAGGGTTCAGGGTTTCGGGTTTAGGGTTCAGGGTTTCGGGTTTGGGGTTTAGGAACGTTTAGGTGTCTTGGGGTTGCAGGGGTCGATCGGACTAGGGTTTTTAGCGGGATAAGGGTGCAAGGCTTGGGGTTTTAGGGAGCGTGAAACGCCAGGCTCATCCACTCGTGGGTTTAGGGTTTAGGGTTTAGGGTGCCTTTGTACGATGTAGGACCGTGCTTGAGCTATAAGCAGGGGGACGAACATCTCCCTGGAATGCTTGGCAGCAATGCGCTGAAGAATCTAGGCAGTCCCGGTAGGCCCTTGAGTTTTTTCGTTTTATCCCGAACCCTTAGACCCTAAACCCTGAACTTAAGAGGACCTTGCTAAGAGGGAGATGTTTGGCAACTCTTCCCCATAGTGGTGCACAGACGTTCTTTTCATTCAAGGATCCACGGTCCAATAGCGCAGGGACTTTAGGGCTTAGGGTTTAGGGTTTGGGGTTTAGGGTTTAGGGCTAGTTTAGGGATTAGGGTTTAGGGATGTTTTGGGGTTTAGGGTTTGGGGTCTGCAAAGTGCGGGTTGCCTTTGCAAAAAAGACAGCCAACCGGACTTCAGGATTTTTTTGGGGGGTTTTGAGGTGTGATTACAGGGTTTAGTCCTTTAGGGTTTGAGGGTGTAATAGCTTAGTAGTAGAGTAGGTGACCTTTAACCTTTTTGGGTTAATATATTCCCCTTATAATCCCAAAGGTTAACCTTTAAAACCCCTAGGTACTGGACAACTAAGATAGGGTGTATTATGGCTTGGGATCTGCCCTGGACCTGTACCCATTTCAGTGTCTGAAGCCCCTGAACCTCAACAGGACCACGCGGCTCAAGTGCTCAGGGGCTTCGATGGGTTTAGGGTTTAGGGTTCAGGGTTTAGGGTTTAGGGTTTAGGGTTTAGGGTTTAGGGTTTAGGGTTTAGGGTTTAGGGTTTAGGGTTCAGGGTGTTGAGGTTGCCCTGTCGGTTCTCACTCGGTCGTGGCAGGTAATCCCATGAATTTGCTTCAACACCTGCAGGCTGACAGTTATACTCGAACCCCCCTGTTGAACGCTTCCTGAGGTCGGAACAGATGTCTATGTGTTCAGGCCGTTGCACACTGAGCTTCAGGGCCACAGTGCATGAGCCTAACAACTATGCGAGTAAAATATGTCAGCCCCGAATGACCCTGACCAACCCGTGACCCCAAATCCTACACCAACTCCTGAACCCTGAGCCCTAAACCTTAAACTAGCCTGCGCCGTAATCCCTTTCCTTAAGCCCTGAACCCTAAACCCTACACCCTCAACCCGAATCCCCACGCCGCCAAACAAGAACCCATGGTATAGTCTCCAGGGCATCACGGCACGGTGAGGTCTACTCTAGGGTCTCCCTGTATAGCGGTAGGCCTCGTCCTTCCTATCTCCGCTGGTCCCGACAGTCATTAGCCGACAGAGCAGAAGCCAGCAAAGAAACCATAGTCCTCCAGTCTACATCAAAGAACCCCCCCCCCCTTCCCAAAGAAAAGCAAACTGAGACAAGCAAACACACACACACACACAGATACACACACATACACACACCTCGATATATATATATATATATACATATGTATATATATATATATACACAGACACACACACACACACACACACACACACACAACACACACACACACACACACACACACACACACACACACACACACACACACACACACACACACACACACACACACACACACACACACACACACACACACACACACACACACACACACACACAACACACACACACACACACACACACACACACACACACACACACACACACACACACACACCACAACACACACACACACACAAACACAACACACGCACACACACACACACACACACACACACAACACACACACACACACACACACACACACACACACACACACACACACACACACAACACACACACACACGACACACACAACACACACACACACACACACACACACACACACACACACACACACACACACACACACACACCACACACACACACACACACACACACACACACACACACACACACACACACACACACACCACACACCACACACACCACACACCACACACCACACACACACACACACACACACACACACCACACACCACACACCACACACCACACACCACACACCACACACCACACACCACACACCACACACCACACACCACACACCACACACCACACACCACACACCACACACCACACACCACACACCACACACCACACACCACACACCACACATCACATACCACGCATCACACACCACACACCGCACACCGCACACACACACCGCACACACACACACCACACACACCACACACACACACACACACACACACACACACACACACACACACACACACGCACAGATACACAGATACACATAAAGAAACACAGAGACACACAGAGACACCCAGAGACAGGTAGATTCAGACAGATACAGACAGATAGACACACACACAGACACAGGTCAGACAAATTAAGTTCAGTACCCAAGATACCCTAAAGGCCTCAAGCACGCTCTGCCGACAGGCTAGGATGCAGCTGCGATTGCTCCGCACTTGCGGCCGGAATGCCTGGGGGTTTTGCGCTTTAGGCATTAAGGTCCACATGGTTTAGGGTTGGTACACAGATGCTGGCGCACGCTAAACCCTACACCCTAAACCCTAAATCCTAAACCCTAAACCTGAAACCCTAAACCCTAAACCCTTAACCCAGTATAGCGGCTTGTAGGCCCCATAGGGTTGATGGTGTTTCCGGTGTTTGTTCATGGTTAGAGGCGTTGCAGATAAGATTGTTTCTTCATTGGGTCTCGTTGCGAGCTGTTCGGGTCGTCGCACGACACAAAATTAGCCCCAAACCATAAACCCGAAACCCTAAACCTAAACCCTAAATCCTAAATCCTAAATCCTAAACAATTGGAGTGCTTGGATTTGGTGGGTGCCGGGTCCAAGGGGGGCGAGCAAGCCAGCAAATCACCGGATTCCCCCCCCCCCCCCCCATACCCCGAAGCCCTAAACCCCAAACCCTAACTGCGAACAATGTTCAATCCCCAGTGTGTTCTGTAGTGTGCCATGTAAAGTGTATAGCAAGCATACTATGAGCCCAATACGACTGAAGCCTCTAGCTGCTCAAAGAAGAAAAGGTGGGTAGCTTTTGTTTTCGCATGGTAGCGGAGCTGGGTTCGCTCCAGCTTCGGAACAAGCGGGTGTCGCCGCTCTAGCGGGTGACACCGCAACACTTGCAGGACAGGGGGCGTCCAGCCAAAACCCCTGTGGCAGAGGCCACACAAAACTGGACAACCGAGGAATCACGGGAAAAGGTACAGGCTCCCGTGGCTATTCCTCGAGGCCGAAAGGCAAAGTCTCAAAAGGGAGCAAAGGCGAGGAGAAGGGCCGACAGAGGTCCAAGGAGTCTACAGAAAGAAGGGCCCTTAGGGGCTTTGCCCGAAGGGCAGAGAGAGCTCTCCAGAAGGGAGAGGACGAGCCAGCTCGAGAGCCGGCTAACGCTCCTGTGTCGGGGCAGTTGACAACTGCAGACGCCCTGCGGTTACAGAGCAGACCGCAGGACGGATCTGCGCTTGGTTGGGGAGGCTTCTTGGACGACGAAAGCTACGTCCCTGAAGGACTTCCGACAGCCGCCAGCTCGAGCTCTGCAGCGGGCCAGGTGTGGAGCCAGTTGAAGAAGGCTTACCCAGGACTCACACAGATAGCTGAGCAGGGACCTGGCAAGAGTGCTCGACTGTCGTACCTCAGGGACACAGCTGAGAGCAGGGTACGCCAGGACCTGGGTAGAGGCTTGAGCCAGGTGTCGGCAACTCGAAGCTGCAGCGACTCTGAGGAGACTGCAGAGGAAACAGAAGTTGAGCGGGAGGAACCGCGATCGGCCCGTGCTGATTCGCGGGTGATACCGCCAACTGAGTGGGATTGGACCGAGCCTGCGATCTCAGTAAGATCAGCCAGGACACGAGTTCAGCCGGCCACAGAGTCAAGCGAGGTGCGTGAGCAGCGCCCGCTGGAAGTGCCAAGGGCTCAGACCGCAAGGGGGACTACCGTGGTTTCGAGCCGGAACAGCAACTACCCAAAGAGCGAGGCGGACTTCGACTACGAGTCTCGCGGGTCAGAAGTGGGGGTTGCTTGGGGACACGCTTGTGGAAGCGCGACAAGCGACAGTTGGCAGGAGAACGACGGTAAGAACAGTTGGCAGTGGAGCCAGCGAAGCGAAGATCAGGAGATCAGCTGGCGAGACAACGAGGCCAACAGACTTCACGGTCGCTGGGAAGAGATCCGAGACAGACGGGTCAGCTGGCACCAGGAAGGTTACGGACGCTGGTCGAGGGGTGCTGAGGATCGTCCCGACCAGTGGAACAGACGTGGGTACCGCCACGAGTGGAGCGGGTGACACCGCAGCCTCGGCCAGCTTTTCTTGACTGGCCAGGACTGTGAGACACTCGTTTTCTGTACAGTGGTAGGACAATTTTTGAAGCAATGGCCAGCGCTGAAGAAGTTGCGGCCTTGAGAGCACAGCTCCTCGAACTTAACGAGGGTTTGAAAAGAGCGAATGCCGCGTACCAGGCTCAGCAAGAGAGATTGTCTAGGACCGAACAAGCCTTGGCAGCAGCGCAACTTACCGCACAATCAGCGGGTGCAACAGCGCAAGCAGCAGGAGTTACGGCGCAGGCTGCAGGAGCTGCGGCTCAGGCTGCAGCGTCGCCAAAAGAAAGCAAACAACTGATACATCCCAGCAATGTGCCAAAACCGCATCAGTACAATGGAAAAAAAGAAGAGTGGGAAAAGTTTCGGCATGTGTTCACAGCCTGGAGCTCAACAGTGCATGCTGATTATCCTGCGTTACTTGACAAGTATGGGGCCTCCAAAGAACCTGTAGATGATGCTTCGTTTTCGCCAGAAGAAGATCAGCTTTCAAAGGCCATGTACACTTTCCTGATCCAGTACTGCCCTGAACCCACCATGGGTGTAGTAGGCCAAGGGCTTCACAACGCCAATGGCTTTGAGGTTTGGAGGCGGTTGGTTCAGCTCAGCGAGCCGGCCTACAGAACAAAGGCATGGGTGTGGAGGCGACACTTGGCCAATCCCAATTTCCCTTCAGATCCTGCGTTGTGGAGTTCGGCTTTGCATCAATGGGAATCAGAGCTGAGAGAGTTTGAGAGAGCGTTCAAGACACCAATGTCAGAAGAAGAGAAGATTTCGATCATTGCACATGTTGCGCCAAAGGAGTTGCAGCAGAGCATTTTCATGCACAGCGACGCACTTGACACGTATGGTAAAATTAGGGGGTACATCGAACAGTACCTGATCAACAAGAATCTTTGGAAAAGGCCACATGGATCCCAGTTTGGTTTGACCAAGGTTACCAACAAAGTTGCGGACAACCCTGTTGACGATGGAGGTCCAAGGGACATGGAGATAGGTGCGTTGCGAGGAAAGGATGGTAAAGGCAAGGATGGCAAAGGCAAGGACAGCTACAAGCAACACAAGCAAGGATACACGCCGCAACAGCAATTCCGAGGAAGCAACAGGGAAACGTGGAAAACTGGTAAGGGCAAAGGAGAAGGGAAATCAAAGGACAAAGGGAAGGAAGGAAAAGGAAAAGACAAAGACAGGAGCAATAAGGGGAAAGGCGTAGGTAACCCACATGCCGGGAAGCAGTGCCACGTTTGTCATAAGTATGGACACATCGCTGCAGATTGCTGGTGGAAGATAGGTAGCGTTGAGGCTTCTGCAGACCACTCTGCAGGGCAGTCTGGGGAGACCGCGCAAGTGCAACCAGCGTCAGGAACGGGAGGTTCGAGTACAGTGGGATCTGTTGCGCCGTACTCGCCGGACAACGTTATCTTTTCCGTGTGTGAGGACAGAATCGCAGCAGTCAGGACCCATGATGACTTGCATTATGTTTTGATTGATTCTGGAGCGTGTGAAAGTGTAGCAAAGGTTGGTGATTTCAAAGAACCGGTTGACAAGAGCGGGGCGAGACCGCTTTACAGTGTGCAAGGCACCCCGTTGAACGTGTACGGGAAGCAGTACCCACATGTTGCCGTAGGTAATCTTCAGGGGGTGATGGAGATGACGGTGACAGATGCTGCTGAGAGTTTGTTGTCGGTGCACAGTCTGGTGCAGAGAGGCCACCAGGTACACTTCACACCGGAAGGATGCCACCTGACTACAAAGGACGGTGAGCGCATTCCTTTGGAGTTGCATGGTAAGCGTTGGTACCTCCGACTGAAGAAGGTTGGAGCCAGCTCCGGGGAACACCGGCCTGGAGACAGGGTAGCACCTGTGGCACCAGTAGACCGAGGTAGAGACGACGACGAGGGAGTGGACAGCTGGAGACGGGAAAGCAAGGATGGAGACGAGTACCTGATCAGAGTCCACAACTCACGTCGGGTTTGCTTGTTCTCACCTGACAGGGTGAAGGATCTACCCGTGCCGCTGGCAAGGATAATGCCAGGAAGGTTGACAAAGATCGTATATGCCTTGGATGGTGCGACCGAGGACCACCAAGGAGTGTGGACTGAAAAGAGGTTGGCCACCAAAAGCATGAAGAAGGCATGGACTGGCGAATCTTGGTTCAAACTCAAGCCGGAGCCGGAACCGCTAGTGAACGCGGACAAAACGGATGACAAGGATGCGTATGTGGAATGGGACATCTATCAACCAAGTGACGTGGAGAAAGAGACGGCTGATGACCTGTCGTTTCTTCGTGAGTTGGAGAGACCGGTAGAAAGGCATGTGCTGGATGATGGTGATGTTGAGCCCTCCCCTGAGGCAGTGGCAGTGCCCTATCAGCCCACAGATGCTGAGAAGCAGTTGCACAGATTGCATCATGCAAACTTTGAGCCGTGGTGCGAAACTTGTGTGAAAGGGCAAGGAAGGGGCAAGCCACACTACAGGGCAAAGGAGGACTCAAAGAATCACATCGTGTATTCGGACTACATGTTCTTCACAAAGGACGGGACACAGGTGGCAAAAGACACAAAGGAAAAAGGACTCATAACAGTCCTAACCGCCATCGACAAGGACAGTCAGTATCCTTTTGCGTCCGTTGTTCCAGCCAAAGGCGCGGGGGCTTTCGCAGTGGATGCAATGACCAAGTGGCTTGATCAGCTAGGATGGGATCAGGTGATGGTGCAAATCGACCAAGAGAATGCACTAGGCAGCTTGTACGAGAAGGTCAAGCTTAAGATGCAGAACAAAATGAAAATCCGGAGGTCGCCAAAGCACAGTTCACAATCACTTGCTGACGGCGAAATGGTCAATGGTTTGATCGCCGGTAAAATTCGGACATGGATGGCAGAGATAGCAACAGGCTATGGTGAAGGTTTGAGGTGTGATGGGATGTTGTTCCCATGGGTGGTGCGGCATGCTGCATGGACACTTGCGAGATATCACCTTAACAAGTCCAAGACAACACCGCACAAAGTGATTTGTGGACATGACTACGTGGGCGAGTTGGTACCGCTGGGGGAGACGGTCATGGCAAAGTTCTCAGCAAGTCAGCAGAAGGCGGCGCCTCGATGGACTAAGGGAATCTACGCGGGAAAGACGCTGATGTCGGACGAACACTTGGTGTTGACGAGTGCTGGAGTTGAGACGGTGCGGACAGTCCGCAGACTGCCAGCAGGGTCCCAATTTCAGCTTGAGACCTTGAAACAGGCGCGGGGAGTGCCGTGGAACACTTTGGAAGGAGTTGATCGGATCAAGCCTGCTCAGGAGAAATCACGGCCAGCGGCGTCAGCGCTGCCAACCGCAGAGCCTGAGGAGCTCTACGATTTCCATGGGGAAAGTGGACCAAAAGCAGCAGTGCCAGTGATCATGCTTCCTGCACCACGAGTAGAGACCCAGGAGGGACCAGTGGTGAAGAAAGCGCGCACAGATGCTGCGACAGCTGCGCCGGGTGACACCGGAAAGCCTGGTGAGAATGGGGGACCGGAGAGGTTCAACATAGCAACTCCAGGTGAAAGTATGGCCACAGGAAGTGAGGCGCAGAGCATGGAAGTGTCAAGGGCAAACTCAGATGCATCAATGAGGGCACCAGGTGAAGCATCTCAAAGAATGATCTCAGCGATTGCAAATGATGGCGAATGGGACATGAAAGGCACCAGGAGTGTCACGAAGGAAGACATAATGAACTACAGAAGATGGGTCAAGCAACACCGGGACTGCTTCAGCAAGGTGATGGTCGCCAACATTATGGACTACCTTGACACCCTCTCGCCCAATGAGATGGATCTCCAAGAAGCTCGCAGGGAGGAAATCCGCAAGCTTAACGATGTCTTTGGAGCTTTCACTCCTCGAGACAGGAGGGAACTACCGCGAGACATCACTATCTTTGGGCATCGATGGGTGGATAAGGTCAGTGAGGGCAGAGTCAAAAGCAGACTTACATGCCAGGATTTCAAGAAGAAGCAGACGTCAGAAGAGAGACACAGTTCTGAAGGAGCAAACAACTTTTGCCCCACGCCACACGCGGTGAGTCGAAAGGTTTTGGAGGTCTACAGTTTGAAAACTGGTTTACCACGCGTGAAGGTGGATCTCACCTCAGCCTTCCTCATTGCAAAAGACAGTGGTGATGACAAAGGACAACCTGTCATGATGAGGCCTCCAGCCGAGTGGCTGGAGGAATATGACGAGTGGTTGCTAAAGCAAAGCAAAGAGGTCCAGGCAGAGCTGGGTAACGTGCCCAAAGAAAGCATTGTGTGGCAGGTGGACGGAAACGTGTATGGGAGACAACCAGCAGCTGCTTCGTACCGAGATCGACTAGAAGAAATTCTACTACGCCAGCTTCCAAAGGACAAGTACTCCTTCTCACGCGGGAAGCTAGATGCTTGTGTTTACAAGTGCAAACTCACAGGCATAGTACTCATTCACCATATCGATGACTTTGACGTTTGCGGACCAGAGGAAATGACGGATGATCTTCTGCTCGTGCAGCTACCAAGAAACGGCTGCAAGGTCAAGGTTGGCGAATATGAGTACCCAGGTTTGGGAAGCCAAACGTCCACGGAGTATCTGGGACGCACAAAGATCAACACGGAAGATGCGGTGATCACAAAGCCAAACAGGAAGCACATCGAGTACATCCTTAAAAGTTTGGGCCTGGAGGAAGCGAAGAGTTCTTCGGTGCCTGGGCGGAAGCTGGAACTCAAAAAGGACGGCCTGCTGAATGAACAGGACAAAGCTTTGTTTGCGAGCTGTGTAGGAAGTGCGATTTACCTCAGTCAAGACAGAGCTGACATCAAGTACAGCGTGAAAGAACTGGCAAGAAGGATTCGAGAGCCAAGGGTTTGCGACATGCAGAATCTTAAGATCTTAGGGAGGTATTTGCAGGGCACAAAAGACATGGGACATGTTTCTGTAGCAGATGCTAGAAATGATGAGAGCGTCGACTTGCATTGCTACTGTGACTCAGACTGGGCCGGGAACGAAGAAGACCGTAAAAGTACTAGTGGGGAAATCTTGTTTCTAGGAGGGACAGCCGTTGAGTGCAACAGTCACACACAACCCGGAACTCCAGCAACATCTTCAGGCGAGGCTGAGATTAGGGCGCTCAACCATTGTGCTCTTAGTGCAGTGTTTGTACGCAATCTTGCGCAGGAAGATTTTGGCATGACAGTTAATGTCCCGCGTATTTGGTGCGATTCCTCAGCGGCGCTGCAAGCCGCCAAGAAGATGGGAGTAGGAAAGATGCGGCACATTGAAATAGCACATCTTGTCATTCAGGACTTAGTGAAGAACAAGAAAGTGATCATAGGCAAAATTGAGGGAACCGAAAACCCTGCGGATATCCTCACGAAATATTTGAAGACAGGAGATGAGATGAAGAGAGGAACTGAGAGAGTGGGACTGGTTGATCTGACTGAAAGGGGTTTGGACAACCATGTCAGCAAAATGAGCATGAAATCGGTGGGAGCGGTTGCAAACAACAAGCCCTGGAAACCGCAGCACAGCTCAAGTCTAAGCATTAGGCAGTATCACAGTGCACTCTTGAAGAGCAAGAGAAAGAACACGTAAGATGGGAGATGCCATGATGCAATGGATTGCTCTGGGTGACACCAGGTTCCTAAGCCAGCAAGATCTGTTGTTCTACAGTTTGCTGCTGAACCTGGGTGCGGTTATGCTCGGATGCATGAGCGTATTGCTCTGCAGTGTTCATTTCATTTGCTACAAGCGCAGTGCCAAAGATGCAAAGCACTCACTGCTCTTCGTATCTCAATTAGGGGGTGCATACCATGCCAGTGTGGAGTGCAGAGCACTGAAGAAGTCGAAAGGACTTAAGCAGTTTCACCCGTGTGGATTCTGTGTGCAAGGAATGAAGTCAGAGTGACACTTTCCCTGGCACAAGGAGGGTGCGAACAATGTTCAATCCCCAGTGTGTTCTGTAGTGTGCCATGTAAAGTGTATAGCAAGCATACTATGAGCCCAATACGACTGAAGCCTCTAGCTGCTCAAAGAAGAAAAGGTGGGTAGCTTTTGTTTTCGCACTAACCCTAAACCCTAAACCCTACACCCTCCACCCTACAGCCTACAAGTATCTACCTGTAGGTGCCCCTAGCTACTTCCTGAGGTTGCGACTTCTGAGCACGACCTGTGCGTGCTCGACGCCGCAACGATGCAGCCGAAGCTCGACCAGAGCGATGATTCGGGGCTACCGGCTGCAGGGCTTGGGGTTTAGGGTTTCGGGTTTAGGGTTTAGGGTTTCGGGTTTAGGATTTAGGGTTTCGGGTTTAGGGTTTAGGGTGATGAGAGTTTGAGGTGTTTGGCGGTTAAGGAGTCAGTCTTGAGGGACCCTAAGTAGCGTCTTGCTCCCTCTGAAAATTCCTCCATAAGCCCCGTAAACCCGAAACCCTAAACCCTAAACCCTAAACCCTAAAACCCTAAACCCTCTTGGGTCGACGTCTAGTTACTTGTTGCACGGGGTGCAGGCTGCGGGGGGCTGCAGATGCCCCAGAGTCAGCCCCTAAACCTTAAACCCTAAACCCTAAACCCTAAGCCCTAAACCCTAAACCCTAAACCCTAAACCCTTCACCCTAAACCCTAAACCCCAATGCCTAAACCTTACACCGAACCCTGAACCCGAAACCCTAGGGTGAAGGTGATGGTTGGTGTTTAGGGTTTCAGGTTTTCGGGAAACAATCCCAACTTTATTATGCCTTATATGGGCGTATTTGGGCAGGAGATAACCCCAAATCAAGGAGACCAAACCTCGCAACCCTACACAATGAACCCCAGACTCCCTAAACCCTAAACCCGAAACCCGAAACCCTAAACCCGAAACCCTAATCCCTAAACCCTAAACCCTAAACCCTAAACCCTCAACCCTAAACCCTAAACCCTAAACCCTAAACCCTAAACCCTAAACCCTAAACCCTAAACCCTAAACCCTAAACCCTAAACCCTAAACCCTAAACCCATCCGAACAGAGCCCATTGCCGTCCGAGGGTCCGAAAGCTGTCGGGCCGAACCCTGAGTTCGGGTTCAGGGTTTAGGGTTTAGGGTTCAGGGTTGAGGGGTTTAGGGTTCAGGGTTTAGGGTTTAGGGTTTAGGGTTCAGGGTTTAGGGTTTGGGGTTCAGGGTTTAGGGTTTAGGGTTCAGGGTTGAGGGGTTTAGGGTTTAGGGTTTAGGGTGTAGGGTTTAGAGTTTAGGGTTCAGGGTTTAGGGTTTGGGGTTTAGGGTTTAGGGTTTAGGGTTTGGGGTTTAGGGTTTAGGGTTCAGGGTTGAGGGGTTTAGGGTTTAGGGTTTAGGGTTTAGGGTGTAGGGTTTAGGGTTCAGGGTTTAGGGTTTGGGGTTTAGGGTTTAGGGTTCAGGGTTTAGGGTTCAGGGTTCAGGGTTTAGGGTTTAGGATGCAGGGTGCAGGGTTCAGGGTTTAGGGTTTAGGGTTCAGGGTTCAGGGAGGGTTCAGGGTTCAGGGTTTAGGGTTTATGGTTCAGGGTTTAGGGTTGAGGGTTACGAGTTTAGGGTTTCGGGTTTATGGTGTAGGGTTGGGATTTGTTCAGCTTCTAATGCAACTGAACCTGAGTGCTGTGTACCAGTCTCATGTCGCTGCACATTCATCCTAGAGCTTGTACAGGCGCCTAGATATTTGTTTCCAATATGTTCCCGTTACAGCCCCTTGCGCTGGGGCGCAGGTTACTCTACACCGCCAGTGGCAAGACATCGATGGCTTTTTGTGAGACGTCTCCCTGGTACCCAGCTCTTGGCCAGAGTGGTGCCTTTGAGCCCTAAACTAGACCCCCAACCCTTCAACCCTTGACACTTTTGAAAAACGCTGACCTAAAATTACTAAACCTTACATAAAACCGACACCCTAAACCCCCCAAAACCCTAAAATTACTAAACCTTACATAAAACCGACACCCTAAACCCTATATGCCCCAATCCCTCGACCCCCTCAACCCTTCAACTCGTGGGTCGAGACTTGCCAGAGACGTGGGGACAGCCTAAGCCCTAAACCCTAAACCCTAAACCCTACACCCTACACCCTACAGGCAAAACCCTGAACCCTAAACTTTAAACCCTAAATCCTTAACCCTAAACCCTAAAACCCTAAAACCCCAAACCCTAAACCCTAAGCGGGTACCTGTGTCATTCATACCCTGCGAAGAGCCAGGGGGCAACCCCTCAACCTCAGGCCCGACCTGCCCTAAGCCCCATGAAGTCCCATCCCCATGGTTTGAGTTTAGGGTTTAAGGTTTAGGGTTTAGGGTTTAGGGTTTAGGGTTTAGGGTTTAGGGTTTAGGGTTTAGGGTTTAGGGTTCAGGGTTCAGGGCTCAGGGCCCAAGCAGGCCACCAAGACGCGGTGGAGGATTTGGGCTTCTTCCAGGCTGGCAGGGGGCCCAATCGCAACCCTAAACCCGAGGCCCTGAGCCTTAAGTTAGGGTTCAGGGCTTAGGTTTTAGGGTTTAGGGTTGAGGGTTTAGGGTTTAGGGTTTAGGGTGTGTCACATGCTCCGCGCAAACCACCACGCAGGGCGTGTGTTGTGGTGTGCGCCAAGGTTCACGTCCTCTCCCAACCCACCCTCCCAATTAGGGTTTTATGTATTTGTTGTCGGCTCTCCTCTCATTTAGTTGCTCGAATATTACTCCGCGCTTTTCCTCGGGTCGAGGTTTGTGCTTTGGGATTTGGGGACTTTATGGCTGAGAACTGGTCTGGAAAAGCCCACAAAAGCTCAGGAATTGTCCAGCAAAGACACAAAACAGGTGCAGTTGGGATCTGGGACCTTTTTGCTGCGAACTGGTGCAGGCACTGAGCCTGCCAGGCAAAGAGTGCCGTAGGGGCCTCGCATGCACTGCTCAGAAATGGGGCGGGAGGAGAATACCAAATGGTCTGCAAAAAGCCCAAAAAGGGGCAGAAATGGTCCGGGAGAAATCCAAAAGGCAGGAAGGGTCGGAAAAGCTGAAAAAGGCACAGCATGGTCCGGGAGAAGCCAAAAGGCTCGGAAGTGGTCCGGGAGAGAAGGCTGCTGCCCAAAAAAGTTGTCCGGGAGAAGCACAAAATCAGAAACCCTAAACCCTAAACCCTAAACCCTAAACCCTAAACCCTAAACCCTAAACCCTAAACCCTAAACCCTAAACCCTAAACCCTAAACCCTGAACCCTAGAAGCCCAGAAAGGCTCAGAAATGGCCCAAAAGGCTCAGAAATGGTTGGGGAGTGCCGGGGAAGGCCAAACAAGCTAAAACGGACCAGAAACGGCCTGGAAGAAATCTACAAAGCCCAGAGATGGTCGGGCTTAAAAAAATCAGAAGTTGTCGGGAGAAGCCCGAAAAAGCTGGGAAAGGCTTGAGAAAAGCCCAAAAAGCCTCGAACATGGTCTCAGAAATGGTCTGGGAGAAGCTCAGAATGGTTGGAGAAGCTCAAAAAGCCTCAGACATGGTCCGGGAAAACCCAAAACTCAGAAATGGTCCGGGAGAAGCCCAAAAAGCCTCTGAAATGGCCGGTGAGAAGCGCCAAGGGTTTGGGAGAAGCCCAAAAAGGCTTAGAAATGGTTTGGGAGAAGCCCAAAACAGCTCATAAATGGTCCGGGAGAACCTCGAAAGGGCCCTGAACCCTAAATCCTAAATCCTAAATCCTAAATCCTAAATCCTAAATCCTAAATCCTAAATCCTAAATCCTAAATCCTAAATCCTAAATCCTAAATCCTAAATCTTAAAACCTAAAACCTAAGTCCTAAATCCTAAAGGACTCTCCCGTTCCGAGCCCACGGTTTAGGGTCATATATTTCTTTTATGCTCCAGCACGCCTGTCGCGTGCGCCGGCACCGAGCCGGTGCAGCCAACGGAGCTCCTTCGCAGCGACTGTCGCGCATGCTCCGGAGCTGGCAGGGGCTGTCGCCCTCTGCACGCTCGCTGCTGCTCACCGCAGCACCCGCAGCTCGCTTCAGTTTAGGGTTTAGGGTTTAGGGTTTAGGGTTTAGGGTTTAGGGTTTAGGGTTTAGGGTTTAGGGTTGAGGGTTGAGGGTTGAGGGTTGAGGGTTGAGGGTTGAGGGTTTAGGGTATAGGGTTTACGGTTTACGGTTTACGGTTTACGGTTTGCGGTTTAGGGTTTAGGTTTTAGGGTTTAAGGGGCTTTAGGGTTTGCGGTTTAGGGTTTATTCGGGTTTAAGGGGGAGTCAACACCCACAAGCGGTCTTGGCAGCAGCTGCCGGACAGTTCGCAACTCCTCAATCAGCGCCGCAACAAAACCCTACCCTTCAGCTTTAAAACCCTAAACCATAAACCCTAAACCCTAAACCCTAAACCCTAAACCCTAAACCCTAGACCCTAGACCCTAGACCCTAAACCCTAAACCCTAAACCCCGAACCCCAAACCCCAAACCCTACACGCAAGAGAACCGCAGGCGGAGCCCCAATGCCTTGCCAGCTGCTCCCACGATGGCTCGGCCATGGCCGGGCCCTCGGCTCGGGGTTTAGGGTTTAGGGTTAGGGTTAGGGTATAAGGTTTAGGGTTTAGGGTTGAGGGTTGAGGGTTTCGGGTTTAGGGTTTAGGGTTTAGCGTTTAGGGTTTGGGTTTAGGG